AGGTCACCTGGCCTTGATGTCAAGTAACTCAAACTGTAGTGATGTCTGAGTGAATTTAAAGACTGCCCTAAATAAAGCAATTGCTGCATATGGTGGTCGGTGAACAACAATATGTATAAGGAGTTCCTGTATGAATGGTGATGGTACAGTGGTTAGGTTGAGTTGGGATAGGTTGATAACTTCCTTTAGCCTAACCGAAGATCCGTACCCCAGTATGAACAGGTGCTGGAGGAACAGTCTATGGAGCCTGAATATTGCACATGTGTTCCTCTGATCATTGTTGCAATGCTTTGCAGGCACCAATGCAAAAATATATAAATGCACAGTTTTGTTTGACACATGCGTGCATGTATTATTTTTTTTGCAAAAAGAGGACTATGCCTATAAAGTATTTTAGTTTGCTAAAAGAACAGTGTATCACAGGGGTGGGCAACTCCAGCCCTCCAGCTGTATTGGAACTACAAGTCCCATGAGGCATTGCAGTTACAAGCATGACTCCCGGAGGCAGTTAAAGTACAGCTGCAGGGCCGGAGTTGTCCACCCCTGCTGTATCATAAACATTTGCCATGCTTTTTTCACCAATTTTTTAAAATCCTCTTTTGCATCTGAGTGCTGCTGATCTTTTCCAGCCTCTTTCAGCCATTACTGTCCACAACTACCTGCTACAGTATCAAGTACACATCATTGCTCTGGACTGGTTTACTGATAGTGACAACAGTGAATCATGCCAGTGCAATATGGCTGCTTTTAGTTTTCACCAAGAGTAAGCATATTATGGGGTGACAATGCAGAAACACAATTGGGAGACAGTTGTCACCCCATAATAGGAAGTGCATGAACAAGGATCTTTATGGTAAGACCACTAGGTGTTACATTGACTAAAGCTGCAGATTTAAAACCAGTGAAAGCAACTTTTGAAATTACATCAAAAAGTTAAAACATATTTGTGATTTTTGAGATTGGGTTTAGATTACTTTAATACATTCAGGGGATGCAGTCATGTTGTCTACTTTTTTCCACCTCAGTGACAGGCTTGGTGGGGTTGGGAAAGGGAGCAGGTGGTGCCCACTGCCTATCTTTGTGGTACCATGCTGCAGTACAATCAGTTGCAGCAGTGCCTTACCCTGCACAATGAAAGATACCCCCTACTTCCCCAAGGATAGACTGTGGGTGCATGACATATTTTTAGGTTGATTCTCATTGAGTGCAATGGGCAGCTTTTCATCATTACTACAAACATTCTAAAACATGCTGGCTAGACCCCCTTCCTTCTTTCCCACCAAGAAATTACACTCCATGTCTGATTGTGCCCCAGGCCAGGCCCGGCGCTACCGCAAGGCAAGTCAGGCGGCCGTCTGAGGGCGGAAAAAACAGGGCATTTTGACAAGTACTTGTACTTGCCAAAATGCCCCGATGTTTGCGCTATGTAATTTTTTTCACTTACCTTCGGTGCGGGAGAGCAGCGGCGAGTCAGCGCTGGTCCGTTGGGAGGAGCTCCAGGTGGGGTCCTAATTTAGCTGGCCGGCGACTGCCAGAGGATCCCGACACGCGCGGCACCTCTGGCAGTCGCTCGGCAAATGCACATTGCCTGTGTAGGCAAGAATCCTAGCACCAGCACTGCCCTCAGGCTCCTCCCAGCAGCCCCAGTGACGGTTCAGTCCGTCACAGTGCCGAGTGGGGGGGGGCGCAAAAATGCACATTGCCTGTGTAGGCAAGAATCCTAGCACCAGCACTGCCCCTGGCTCCCTCTTGGCCACTATGAACATCCTCAATTGACGTTGGGCCTCCTTATTCTTTTTGCTCCCCGTCCCAAAGTGCAAACAGTGTGCCTGATTTACTAACCACATGCATGTATGGAACTTCAGTGATGTGTCAACAGAGAGGCTGAACAAGCCAGCCTTGTATTCAAAGTATTTTCTAAGCAACCTGCGATATGCAAAGACACACGCACATCAATTATAGCATGCTTACAGCAAATTCACCAACAAAATGTGGTTCGCTATGGAGTGTAAGCTACAGCAAATGTTGTATAGAAGGTAGTACACTAACTGCAACATGTGAATTGAGCAGGAATGGGTTTTTTAGCAGATAGGAATTGTATTTGCTAGGTATAATTACATCTGCACACTCATGTGAACCCACGCTACAAGTGTACCAGTTATAAACAGTATACAGCCATATCTCTCCAATCTTGTGAAGTTCCCTTTAGTAAATCAGTCCTCTATCAATCCTCTAGTAGCAGAGAATTGCCAGAATAGCTTTAATACTTCCCTTAATCACCACTAGGTGGCATAACATGTTCAGAATATGTGTCTGCATTTTGATACTCAAACACCCCAGAATCTGCTGCCTACAGGGTTTCCAATATCATATTAATGTTCTGGGGTCTAGTTAACCATTTTTTTCACCCATGATTCATCCAAATTTCAAATCCAATAAATTAGAAAAATATATAAATTGTAGGAGAAAACACTTAATAAATAGACCCCGAAAGTGTATCTAAGGCTACATTTACCCTAGCACTTCTGAGTTTGCATTACTTAAACCAAAGAAAAATGATCTGGGAGATATAAACAAACTTCCTAGATCCAGTTTTCCTCTGCGTACATGTACCTGCCTGTAGATGCATTTACATGCTTTTAGAGAATCTACTCCACCCTGAGCGCACAGAATTCTGTTTTATACAAATAGAGTTAAAATGAATGCACATAAACACAGGGAAAGGCAGTTTGAATGATATCAAGAAAAATCATTATAGGCCTTTTTATGTGTTTAGAAATATAATTTTTCTTCTGAATATTTGTTTACGTCAGTGTGAATGGCAATTTTTATGGCCACTCAATGGAGATGAGGAGCATGTGTTTTTGGCATTATTAGCCCAAAACAAATGTTTACAAATATTCACATAGCCCACGAATTGTTTATAAATAGATTATAAAGAGACCCCTTAGCATTTTGCATGGGTGAACCGGGGGGTGTTTACCTGTGAATAAGCACAACCTTGCACTTTCACGCATGGTCTTCTTTAAATGGCTGTTGGAAAATTCCACTGTGGCATAATTATTCTTTGGAACCAATGTGGCATTTACATGCACAGTAACACTTGCCTAGTGTATGGCAATGCCCTCTACCCCTCATTCCCCAGTGTCACCTTCATGTTGGGGAACATCAGGGACCAGCCAGCAAAATCAATCCAGGGTTTATCTGAGTTTGGTCAGTCAATGGGTCAGTCAATATTCTCCTATCCAACAGTTTTTATCTGGATCAAGCAATGATAACCTTTTGTCCCTGGGTACCGCAATGTAACCTGCACCATTACAGCAGGCATCCTAAGGAAGTGACTAAAGGTGTATTTCAAGGTGTATTGTTTAGCAGTGCTCACTATAACCTCCATTTTTAAAATATATTTTCTTACCGGATTACAGAGGCTTCTTAGATAAAATGTAGAAATATACATCCTACACTTGTGTCCAAAGAATAGGCCAAATATTTGTCCGTTTCCGGACCTGTGATTAGAACTTGTGGTGTGTTGCTGTTAAAATGTATAATAATGTGAAGGTTAAAAAGATATAGCATATCACAAATATATTACATGTAAAAACTGTAAACATGTAATCATAGAGTTTGAAGGCGCTATTTATAGGATTGGGGCCTATATCCGGAGAAATACGTAATAACCTCCAATTGTGTGGGTGAAACCCTAGGAGGTCCTGGGTAGGATCCCACAAATGTTCATAGCTATATTCCCAATCTCACCTGCCGTCAGCGTATTTACTTATATAAATGTTATACACTGGCTGTCTGGTTCTCATCATTTCATCTTGCATCAGATTAGACTGAAAACATTTTGTAAAATTCAGTAATATTACCTTTGGCATCACATTGAGTGATTTGTCAGTAAAAACATAGTAAGAATTGGCAGTACTGCATGTGTTGGAATCATGAACATGTTTCATGATGGGGTTACTGTGCAACAGGTAAGTGGGTGAATCTGCAGCCAGACAGGGGTCATGTCAATAATTGCTTTTATACTATGTGGGTGAAAGATCACGGTGCTGCAACAGGTCAGCAGATTTTGCTTCATGGACAAGGATAGAGTGAGACTATCAGGGTTATTCACAAAAGGGTGAAGAGTTTGGAGAAGGCCGGAGAAGTGAACAATCTAGGACAACATAGCTGATTTGGAAAAATTATCAGATTCAGCTCACTTTCCAAATTAGCTATGTTGTCCTAGATTGTTCACTTCTCCTGCCTTCTCCAAACTCTTCACCCTTTTGTGAATAACCCTGTATGTGTTTGGAGGGGTAAGTTAAGTGTTAGAAAAGAATTGGTGAATATGCCCTAAGCATCAGGTTAGGCACTCCAGCTGTAGTGAAACTACAAATCCTGTCAGTCTTGCAATGCCTCAAGCAACTTGTAGTTACACAACAGCTGGAATGCCAAGCTTGCCTACCCCTGGGTTAGTCATGTTTAGGTCTGATTCACACCTAAACAACAGCGTTTTTATGCATAAAAACGCAAATTCTTTTGCTGCACGTTTTTACGTGCGTCTAGGCGCATACACTAAATAAGCGCATTCTTACGAGCTTATTGAGACACACTAAAGTAAAGAGACAAAATGCACGCATACGCAAAACTAATTGCAATGGGTGACGGGAGGACGCTAGTTTGTGCCCTCCCATTACCCTTAGGAGAACTATGGGGAAAAGCCCTAACCCCATAGTTCTCCTTTAAAGCACAGCAAAGTTGTGAACTCGGCCTAAGAGAGGAATTCCCTTCACTATTGTAGAGATTCCCTCTCAACAACTGTTGTCTCCAGGACAGGAAGTGAAGTAAAGTCTCCCTAATGGACACAAACAGAGAGCAAAAAAATAAACTGAGCATAGTTTTAACCCTTCCCTACCTTATTCATACCTAAAAAGATGGTTTTGTCAGTATATGCACTTTAAGTTCAGCACTTCAAATAGGATCTTGTTGAGCAGGGTTGCCAGCTGCTCACCATGAATGACAGGATCTCAGGTAAGTTGAAATTTTAGGAACAAGCACAGTCAAGACGCTGGATTCATATATTCAGAAGATCAGTCAGAATGTGATAAAGCACAATGGCTCTGCTGAGGCTGCTCTCTACAAAAATGGGACGTCCCACATACAAGGGAATCCGGGATTGAAGATATATGCATATATACAGTCCAATGAGAGCGCGAAACAAGATAGTATGCGGGTCCAAAAACGTTTGATTTTTGCCACCCTCTTTTTTTTATTCATCAAGATAGTGTTTATCAGTGAAGAACAGAGTTTCTTATGTTTTCTGAGCATCATACAACAAACAAACAGAAAAACAGTAAAGCATAAAAAGTGCAGTATATGGAACAAGAAGAATTAGAGAAGACAATCCTCAATCCACTTGTTACAAATATAGACTTGGGGCATAACCTTGAGATACAACATTGTGGTATATATTATAATTACATGAACAAGGGTGTACATACAGTTTAATTGTGAATGAGCCGTACATTCAATAAAACTTACTTTCTTACTATAAATCATGGACTATTTGCTGCCTGGTTTTCATCTCTTCTTGCATCAGATTAGACTGCAAACAGTTTGCACAATACAGTAATCTTACCTTTGGAATCACATTGATGTTTATCAGTACAAAAAAAAAGACTATGCTGGTTGTGTCAAATCATGAACATTCTTTATGATGGGGTTACTGTGCGACAGGTAAGTGGGTGAATCTGCAGCCAGACAGGGGTCATGTCAATAGTCAGTACTATTCTATGGAGGTAAGAGATCAAGGTGCTGCAATGTAGCAGCCGGGTTACAGTGCATGAGGTGACCTGAGGATCTAAACAGACAGACGAGAGTACATGTTGCCATACACGGACTGTTTTATGGCAGTGATATGGCTGTTCAGAACATCGGTATTATTAATAAGTAATTGTGGGAGTTATTGAGAACCAGTAATTAATACTAAATAAGGGGCAAATTCTGATATCTAAAGATTGTACCATTTTCTGTATTAAAAATTCAGCCTGGACTGTCTACAGACCTGCAGAACTGGGAAGAACAGGCAGTCAAAACATTTCCCACCCTCCACAGGGATGATTAAAGTATAGGTAAAGTTTCAAACAAAGTGTTCTTATCTTTTTTTTCCCCTATCCCACTGTGCTAACCTAGCACATCTTCCCCCTTTCCAGATGCATACTCACCTTGCAGTGTTCCCTGTGGCCTCCAGGATTTGTCCAGGGGGCCATCTCCCGAGCTTCTCCCACCTTGGGAGACAGTTTCATAGAACCCAGACTATCCACAGACCAGCAAAACTAGGACGGGGAGGCAATAAAAGTTCTGTCCACCTTACACAGAGATGCTTAAGGGCTAAGTGAACTTGCAAACAAAGTGTGCTTATCATTTCCCCCATCCCTCTGGGCTAACATATTTCCCCCCCTTCCCAGATGCATACTCACCTTGCAGTTTTCTCCATGGCCTCCAGGGTTTGTCCACCGGGGTCATCTCCTGAGCATCTCCCACCTTGAGAGATGGTCTCATTGAGCACTAGACAGTCCCTTTAGAACGCTCTTGCTTTATGGGTTTATATGAGACCATATAAACCCATATACTGCATATAAACACATAGAAAACCATATTTACATATGAACCCATAGACAGCACCATAGGAAAGTTCTTGCTTTTCTATGGGTCCATATAAACCTATATAAACCCTTATTTCCATATGAATCCATGGATGATCCCATAGGAAAGCTCTTGTTTTCCTATGGGACCATTAAAACCCATATAAACTCATATTTCCATATAAACCAATGAACAGTGCATTAGTAAAGCTCTTGTTTTCCTATGGGACCATATAAACCCATATTTCCATATGAACCCATGGGCATACCCATAAGAAAGCTCTTGCTATCCAATGGAACCATATTAACCCATATTTCCATATAAACCCATGGACAGTCCCAAAAGAAAGCTCATGCTTTCCTATGGGACCATATAAACCCATATTTCCATATAAACCCATGTAACCCATATAAACCCATGTAACCCACACAACCCCATATTTCTACATACACCCATATTATTATGTTAATGAA